ATTAAGGTCTTACATGCCAGACCAGTATGTTCCTTGGGTCCTGAAAGAACAAGTTAAAAAACTATCAGGTGTAGAACAGTAAGAAAGAAAATTAAGTGAAGTTATTCAATCATCAGATATTCCAAAAATACATATATGTTTATAATATTTTCATATATTTATAATATTTGTACAAGGCAGTGTACTAGGTGGTTGGTCAAGTACCTCCCTTTGTCGAGTTCGTAGTAAATCAAATTTTAAATATTATATATATATATATATACTATGAACACAAAATAAAGAGAATAATACAACAGAGAATAATAGAACTAATCACCTAGATAGGTGGGACAGGAAATAGTCTGAGAACATGATACTGAGGCTGAGGCTTGAGGAATGAATAGAGTTTAGTAGGAGAATTTAGTAAGGGGAAAATATTTTAGGACAAAAGAGCAATACGCATAGCTTAGGCTGCTATTAGTGAAATACCACAGAGTTGGTAGCTTGAAAAACAGAATTTGTTTTCTCACAGTTCTGAAAGCTAAATGTCCATGATTAAGTGGCCAGCAAATTGGTTTCTGGTAAGAGATCTCTGCCTGGTTTTTAGATGACAGCCTTCTCATTGTATCCTCACAAGACCTTTCCTTGATGGGAATGACAGAAAAGAGAGAGAGATTAAGCTTTCTGGTGCCTCTTATTAGAAGGACACTAATCCTATGAAATCAGAGCCTCATCTATTTGACCTCATTTAACCTTAATTACTTCCTCAAGTCTGTAAATTCCAAATACTGTACAGCAACTTTGGGGGTTAAGGCTTCCACATATGAATTTTGAGGGAATATACCTAGTCCAGAACATCAATCAATAAACAAATAATAATAACAGAATGAGTTTACTCTCGTTCCCCTCTTGTCTGTTGTTTCACTTTCCCAAGTTTCAGTTACCCATAGTTAACTAAGTCTGAAAACATTAAATGGAAAATTCCACAAATAAGCAATTCATAAGTTTTAAACTGTGTGCTATTCTGAGTGATGTGATGAAATGTGACACCATCCCTCTCAGGATCTGAATCACTCTTTTATCCAGTGTACCCACGCTGTATACGTTACCCACACTTGGCACTTAGTAGCCAACATGGTGATCAGATTTCTGTAGTAGCACAGTGCTGGAGTACAAAAAAGCCCTATTTCACTTAGCTCCAATGCATAAGAGTTGTGATCCTGATAACCAAGATATGCCAAAGAGAATAAAGTGCTCCTTTTAATTGAAAAAGTTGTATGTTGAGGTTGCTAACCTCTAACTAATAATATTCTCTGAAATTATGAAGGAAAATGAAACTTATTCTAATCTTCCTGTGGTACCTAAGATTGCAAAAGTTATAGGCATAGTACATAATAAGTGCTTAGGAAAGAAGGACAAGGCAAATCAGACATTTTGGCACATGCCTATAATCCCAGAATTTGAGAAAATTAATCAGGAGGATCTCAAATTTGAGGCCAGCCTGGGCTAAATGGCAAATATGAGGCTAGTCTGGACTACAGAGTGAGACCCTATTTAAAAAAAAAAAAAGAAAGAGGCATTTGTGTGTGTATCTGCAGGGGAAAACATAGTTAATATAGGGGTTCATAATATCCATGATTTTAGGTATCCATTGGGGGTCTTGGAATGTACCCCCCAAGAGGTAAGGGCAGATGGATATATACTATTCATTCATTAAACAAATAATAATGAATGCCGAATAAGTAGCAGATGTGTATGGGTGTGAGTATAGCAATGAACAAAGCGCACAGGGATTCTGCCTTCATGGTGCTTACAGGTGAGATAAGAAGTGGACAGTTAAATGATCACAGTAAAGGGTAATGACAATTATGACCTGTCTGGTCCCACTGTGGCAAAAGCAGAGCTAGCCAGCCTGTTCCACTGGGTCAGAAAAGGCCTAGAATAAACAACCTATTTGGAAGATAATCATAGACAGCCAGGTGAAGAGTGGAATTAAAGAGTATTCTGGTCAGAGAGAACAGTACGTGCAAAAGTCTCTGGGGCAAGAGACTTGGGTCAAAAAGTTTCACATAGGCAGAAGGTAAGAGTATAAAGAGATGGGGGAGACAGAGAGGAACAAGAAGACAAGAAGCAGACCTGGGAGGACTTTGTAAAAGGAGTTAAAGAGTTTGGACTGTACCCCTGAGAATGATACGAATCTCTGAGTTGGGGGAGAGGTTGGATAGAAAGGAAGCTCTGACATGAGCAGACTTACCATATTTCTGGAAGTAGGAAAGACTAGAAGCAAGAAACATGAAGGTATAGTTAGAGGTGAAATGGGTAGGTTTTTGAGACCATATTTTGGGGCGGTAGAGAATCAAATATACCACTTTAAGATGGGATGCTCTGGTATGTTAATTATTTTTGGTTAATGACGCCTTAAAAACAGTAAGAAGGCTATCCTGACTTTTTTTTTCTTTCTTTCCTTCCTTCCCTTCCCTCTTTTTCTTTCTTTCCTTTCCCTTCCTTCCTTCCCTTTCTTTCTTTCTTTCTTGAGATGCCAAGGAGAAAACGCAGGCCCTCCTATGTTAGCCAAGTCCTCTACCACTGAGGTATATCCCCAGCCCCTGACCTTTTTCCCCCAAACCAGGAGATAAAACTCCCACATAAAAGATACCCTCCCTATGCCAGATGAAAGACATTCACCAAAGATGAGGGTCAAGACCGAGAGAAATCTGTGCAAACCTTGCAGAATGAACCCTTGTCCAGTCACTTTTCTACAATTAACTGCCCTCGTGTACTCCTTTTGTCTTCGTGTTTTTACAATTTACTATTCTTTGGACTATAATCGTTGGTGTCTGTTTCTTTGGGTCTTTATTTTTCTTGTGAAGTGTTCCATGTACATGCAAAAATTGCTAAACAAAACTTGTAGATTTTTTTCCAGGAAATCTATCTTATGTCAGTATAATTCTCAAGTCCAGTTAAAAACCCTAAGAGGGTAGAAGAGCCCTACAGGGTTAAAGAAAAAGAGTGGTTTCTGGTTTAGGCAATGGAAAAGTCTTAAACTGGAATGAGATGTATTTCAAGCATGGAGTTTCACTGTGAACATAGTGAACAAAATGCTTTTGAGGTATCCAAAGATAGCTAGTTTTTGTTTTTGTTTTTGTTTTCAATACTGGAGATACCTACAGCCTCTCCACTGAGCTATTTCCCCAGCCCTTTTTAATTTTTGAGACAGGGTCTCCCTAGGTCTTAAATTGCTCAGGCTGGCCTCAAAGTTGTGATCCTGTCTCTATCTCCCAGAATGCTGGGATTACAGATGTGTGGTTGTCTACTGAGTCTTTGGGCTTTGGCTAGGGCATCTGAGGAACTTCATTTTCAATTTCATTTAACTAATTAAACTCTATAAATAGCTAGTGGCTACTGTACAGGTCACCACAGAAATCTATTCCAATATGAATTCAACCAGCATAATTCTACTAATGGAACAGGGCACATGGCAATCAAAAACCACTTTAGCACTTGCCCTTCATGAGGTGACCACTCCATAAGCAGTGTCTAAGGGAGTGACCTACTCTAACTTCATCTATGTTCAATGTGGGAACCAGATATTTTCAGACAATGACATCTATCATGAGTCTCACATTTATTTAACTTAAAGACCTAACATTCAAAAACTTTTCATCTGTTGAAAAAAATCACAATTTCAGTAATTCCCCAATTCACCATTTTGGGGTCTGGGGAAGCAAAATAGAAATTTGACAAAGCCTAGTAGTAGTACGGTAGAACCAGCCACATCTGCTAATGCACCTAATTCTCTCAATCATTTCAGAATAAGCAAAAAGAAGCTCAGAGAGGTTGAAATTTACTAACAACCTATAACTAGCTAGCACCAGAGATTAAAAATGCAACATCAGGCCACTGGGTATCCAACACTACATTCTTTCCAATACATCAGATGGCTTAGCTGGGCATGTTGGTACCAGCACTCAGGAGGCTGAGGCAGGAGGGTCACTGTGAGTTCAAGGCCAGTCTGGGCTATGTGATAAATTCAAGACCAGCCTGAACTACAAAATGAGACACTGTGTCAAAGGAAAAAAAAAAAAAAAAAAAAAAAAGGACTAAATTTCTGTAGAAGAATGGCAAATTTAAACTCAGAAAAGAATGAAAGGAAGGAGCAGCAAGAGAAGTAGCTTAGTGAGAAGGCCCTAGGTCCAAACAGGTCCTCTTTGAAACAAAAAATCAAAATTTCTAGCTGCCTTTGAGCCTTTCCATCATTTGGTCACTTAAGTAACTATTTCCAGTTAATGTCTTCACTCTTTACCAGACTGATCTCTTCTGTCTTCATTTATACTATCATATAATTCTACCTGAAAGTTCCAGTTAAATCTTTTCCCTTACTCGTTTTAACCTCGATTTTCTCCCTCCTCTGAATTTTGTTTGTTTTACCTCCTCTGAGTTTTTACACTTATAATGGGCACCACATAATGTAGCAACCTTTGTTGTATTGCTTTTCCCTTAAACCATAGTCTCTTTGAGGACGAGGCATCCTCTATGCTTGCGGGGGTGGCAAGCCTCCCAAATTTACCCCGATTTTCTAAGGAGCTTTACTTTGGAATTGATGAGTAATCTATACTCAAAAGGGTAACATTTCTTGGTTAATTAAAATCGGCCTCAACCGCAGTATCTTCCATTTACCTCAATCTACAGTGCACCAATTAATCCAGAACGGTGGAGCAACAAATACAGAGACCGGTTCCGCCACGCCACGCCCAGCGTGTTGGCTGCCGATTGGGCGTGGCCCAATTTAGAGAGGCCGGGTGATTGGGGTGGAGTGCGTGGGTAAAGGCGTGGCTGAGAAGAACCTACGAGTAGAGTGAAATTCGGTAATTTCCGGTAACTCTCGACAACTTCCGGCAACGGTCTTTGCTCGGCCGATTCACTTCGGGCATTTCCGGTATCTTTCGGTACTTTCCGTCAGCCTCCCTCGTGGATCTCCATTCTTCGGATATTTCCGTGTTCCGCTCGGAAGTACTCGGTAGTCGTTCGGTCTCCCCCTTCCCCCGGTAACGGTCGCTGGTGAGTTTAAATGAGCCGGGGCTGGCGGGGCCGGAGCCGCTACGGGGGAGTGCCTGAGGCACTGCAGAAAGTGGGCCTGACCCTGAAGGATGACGGTGCTGCAGGAACCCGTCCAGGTAATGATAACCCCTTTCTCTTGAGGCTTGGCTCTCAGCCATTCGGGAAGCAGCGTTCGGCCACTTCGCGGCCTGGTGCGGCCTAGGCCCGGCTCCTTCTCCCGCCTCCCCTACAGCCGATCCTGCCTGACTTTGGTCAGCCCAGACGCCTAGCCTGCAACCGAAACCGCTCTACCTTGGTTCTACGTTACTCCTGCCCAGTGGTGCTGGCGGTAATACCCCATTTTCGGTCTGAGCCCACGTCCGGCCAGCCCCTCCTGTTAGTCTTAAGGCCTGGCCTGGCAGAAGGCGAGAGATGAGGGCCCAAAAAGGCACCCGGGAGCTCTGTTCTTTAAAGGATGGTTAAGAAGCACCTTTAAACACAGCTGGTACGATCTGCATAGTAGTAGTGGGACAAGTTTGCGGCCGTAGGATTTTTGCTGTTGTTGTTTTGTTTTATGTGAGAGGATGCAGGGAGGTGAGATCGGTATTTTTAATCTCATTTCTAGCTTGGTAACAGACTTATTAGCCCACGTTACCTTTCTTACTCTGGATTTCCGGCTGGACAGTGATGATCTGAGAACTCCAAGGCTTGGTGATGAGGTGCAAGCACCGTACAAGGGGGAGGAGTGGAAAGGGCAAATCTGGTTTTTTTCATTACCTGTGACAGGGATCGGAAGCATTTTATTGTGCTTGTTTATAAGGTGTTTAGGAAACGAAAGACTGTGGTTTTTCCATCCATTTCACTGCCCTTACCTCACCAAGATATACTTTGACGCACAGTGCTCTGTTGTCAGGGAACAAATCCTATTGGATTTTAAGTGCGTGGTGCAGTGCCAAGTCATTTTGCCCCCTGCTGTCTGAAGAAACTGTATCTTTTGTCCCAGGTATAAGAGACTTTCCTCCCATCATATGATTTTTTGGCTTGATCAGAATAGTTGACCTCTGTCGACTGCTTTCATTTAAGTCATGGACTTCAACTTGAACTTAAACGGCTAACGAATTTTAAAAATTTCTTCACATTGCTCTTGATAAACCTGTGATATCAAATAGAAAACATTTGAATGCGTCATTATTTCCTTAAGTTTTCTTCACAGTATGAAATATTCATTTCTGCTAGTTTGGCTCATTTCCAGCTCTTTACATATAGCAGATAGAGATTAGTGTTAATTCCTAAGGGAAAATTACGTGTTTGTAAATTATGTTTGTTCTTCCAATACTGTTTCTTTCTCTTCAAATTTCTCTTCCTGGTTACAGGGCCTCTTTTAAGGTTTTGTTTGTCTGAGGCTTAACATGAAATTAAGTGAATAAGCAGACTACTCGAGTTATTTAATTTGGTTCGTGTTCTTGTAATTTTGTCTTAATGAGGCTTTTGTCTTTATGGACCCAAAAGGCTTCGAAAGTATGGAAGTAGAGTAGTAGCACTGACAGCATATAATGACTATTTAATAGTTATTTCAACTTGCATGAAAAAAAAATAGAAATATGTAACCTCTTTTAGGTAATACCCATCAGGTACCCCCCCGCTTTTGGACCAGGGATCGAACTTGGGTCCCTGAGCTTGTGAGGCAGGCAGGCAGTGGAACCACTGAGCTACATCCCTGACCCCCCCCCTTTTTAAACTAGCCTTACCTTTAATACACTTGAATAATTTTAAGACTTAAAAGCCAAATTTGTCCTTTTTCTCTCCCATACTAGCTTTATCCAGTAGATTTTGGGATGTGGTAAGAAGTTTAGGCTATGACTAGGTGAAAATGTTGGCTGTAGTTTATAGAGTAAAAGGAAGCGCAGATTATAAGGGATCCGGAAAAGTGGAGGAACAAGCAACTTTGACTACAGTTACAAAAGGTAAACTGATCAGGGATAATGTTGAAAATGGAAAAAAATTAGTAAGGAAGAGAATAAAAATAGGACAAATAAATAAGATAGTCTTAAAAATGACAATCCAGATATTTGAAAAGGACTGAAGAAGCTAAGTTGGAAAATTCGTTACTTTTTTTGGAATGTCTGATTGTTCGAGGTATTACTAGGCAGAGTAAAAAGTTGACAGAAAAGTGAGCAACTGCTTGTTTCCTGTTTTTTTCTTTTTTTAGAGTATTAGCATGAACTAGGGCAATATATACCTATATAAGTCTCTTCCCAAGTTATCTCTCATAGAAAAGTATTGCTTTATATTTGGGTCTTTTTTAAAAAGTCTCTAATATTATGAGACAAAATTCTGTTATTTATTTATTTTATGATAACAGGGCCTTCACACTCCAAATTTTTATTTTGAGACAAGTTCTTGTAAAATTGCCCAGGCTGAGCTCAAATGGAATCCTCCTACCTCAGACTTCCTGAGTGCTGTGATTCCAGGTATGCTCAGCTAGTTATTTTTCTTTTAATGTTAACTGGAGAAACTACAATGGCCCAGATGACTTCAATCAGTGCTAATTTGGATGTTTATAAAAGTCACCTGATGACTTTTTTTTAAAGCGACAGACTTTCATATATATATTTATATCTATATACCCAATATTGTGGGGGAGGGGGTAAGACTTCACAGAAGTGTGTGATGAAGTTGTAAGCAAGCCTTTTGTTTTGTTTTTTTTTTTGTTGTTGTTTTGAGACAGGGTCTCACTATGTAGTTGAGACTGCCCTGGTACTATGTAGCCCAGGCTGGTCTCGAACTCACAGCAATTCTCCTGCCTCAGCCTCCCAAGTGCTAGGATTACAGGCGTGTACCACCATGCCCGGCGCTGTAAGCAAGCCTTTTGAAAAGTCAATTCAATTAGCAATTTAGTAATTGACTACTATATGTTCAATATAGTTTTAGATCTCATTAGATAATGAAGTACTTTTGACTTGGAAGAATATTTCTACATCTAACCATGTAAAGAGTACCATATTTTGGCTACTGTATGGAAAATATAACAGAAGAGGCAAGAATGAATGTGGTTGCCTTGGAGATGTAGGTAATCTAAAGTAAGGTAAAAGTAGAGCATGAAAAATGTAGATGAATTGAAGAAATGCTTTTGAGGTCAAAGTTTAAGAAATATTTGGGAGAGGGCTGGAAATTTAGCCCAGTCCAGGATTTCCGCCACCTGCCTCGAAAGCGCAAGGACCTGAGTTTGTTACCCGGTACCAACAAATATATTTATATATTTGAGAGATAGAACCAAAAAGATATGGAAATTGATTTGATGGTGGAGTATCAAAAATGATTGCTTAAGCCAGGCATGGTGGCGCATGCCTGTAATCCCAGCACTCGGGAGGCTGAGGCAGGAGGATTGCAGTGAGTTTGAGACCAGGCTGGGCTACATAGCAATATAGAGATGGAACTCCTAATCTTGTGCCCATTTTAATATTACTGGGAAGGTAAGAATGCTTGTAATAGATGATATTACAAGTCAATATAAATTTGCCCAGATAATGAATTCAGAAAAGAAAAAGAATCCTACAGGCGAGAAAAATAGGAAAGGCCTCCTGAAGGAGAACTTTAAGTCTAAGAGTTCAAACTGATAGAGTAAAAATGTTCTAGGCATAAACAAAATCCAAAGATGAGAATGTTGTTTCAGGAGGAGCGAACACTTAAATACTGTAAACTTGGCTAGACTGGTAGTTGAGAACAGGAAGAGGAAGGGTTTACAATTAGGTATAGTCAGGTTACAGGGAACTTAACATCCAAGCTGAGAAGTTTAGATTTAAATGTATTGAGAATGAATAGCCATTATATGAACAAAGAGTTTGGGGACAGAAAAATTATGTAGTGAAAACAGTGCTTTGGGAATATTAATCTGGCTCAACTTGCAAAGAAGAAAAAAACAAGAGTGAGAGAGGTAAATTAACTAGTAGGAATAAATAGACTACTGGTAGAATAACCCAGGTTTGTGGTAATGTAGATTAGGGTTTTTTTTAAATTTCAGCTCTCTTGACATTTTGGGTAAACTAATACTTTTTTGTGGGTGAGATATGTACATTGAGGTAAGTTGCTATACCCCTAGCTTTTACCCATTGGATGCCCCCTTCATTCTTTTTGTTTGTTTGAGACAGGGTATTAGTATGTAATTCATGCTGGCCTTGAACTCACTATGTAGCCCAGAATGGCCTCAAACTCATGATCCTCCTGCCTCAGCCTCCTGAATGTTGGGTGCCTCCCACACACACTTTTTTTTTTTTTTTTTTTTTTTTTTGTACTGGGGAGGTACAGTGCCCCTGAGCTAAATCCCCAGCCCTCTCCCTTCATTTTTGACAATCAAAAATTCCTCCCTGAAATTGCTAAATGCGGGGTGGGGGGGTGGCGGGGTGGCGCAAATTTCCCAGATTGAAAACCAGTGCCAAAGGCCTAAATGAAATTAGAATTCTAAAAATTAGAATAATTTAATTATACAGTGTATAATATGGTGTTTTGGGGGATTTGGCTTGTTGGAAAACCAACATTTTCCTTGTACCTTCCTAAATTATCTGAAATTTCTATTCATTGCTTTTATGATCTTTAAAAAGGCTGCTTTTGGCGGGGGCAGGGAACAGAAACAAAACAACTTGTAGTAGTTACTTTTAAGTCAGAGTACAACTTACAGTTTTGTTTACATTTAAAATAATATTTCAAGTTTAAAATAGCTAGTAAGGGGCCAGGGATTTAGTTCATTGGTGCTGCCACCTGCCTCACAAGCACAAAGACCCAAGTTCAATCCATGGTACCAATCAATCAATCAATCAAATAAAATAAAAATAGCAAGTAAGACATTTTGCAACTTTATACTGATTATTTATCTTTTAAATTAGTGCAACCAGTGACTATGACATTTATCAGGGGAATTTTTTCCTTAAACATTTTGTTGGGAAGAGAAAAAAGGAATGTTACTCTTTTGGCTGTGTGACTTTTTAACAGCATTTTATCCACCTGGCTTTAATTTGTAGAACTCTAGAGATGATGCACTGAGTACTATACTTTTTTTCGGTAACTGTACTAGGAATCAAAGCCAGGGTTTCTCACATGTGAGGCAAGTACTTTACCATTGAGCCATACCCCTAGATCTTTT